GTTGGGTTGGGTTGGAGAGGTGTGTGTGGTCTGGAGGAGCATTCCTCTGCGTCCTTTTGGCTGCAAGGGTATTGCTGCCCTCCCTCGTTGGTTGGATGGCCAGCGGTGCCTCACTGATGGTATAATTTTGGAGGTCTCTGATGGGTTTGTACATGGGACTATTTCGATATGACTGGAAGTGGTTCAAATACACAGAGTGAGAGAAACTGGAGGAGGGTAACGAGTTTCGGCAGAGAGACAGGGCTTGTTCTCATAAGAGCTACGGTTTATTTGGTGGTTTTAAAAGGCAGCGATTTACTGTTTCACTTTTTTCACTTCACAAGAATCTAGCTGGAAGCAGAGACTGAGATATCCTGGATTTTAGTCTCTAGAATGGGTCCAAATCTAACAACACAGGATCCTACATTTCCTACAATGCAACTGAATAGCGTTTCTGTTGTATTTACCCTCCCTTCCTAAATGTTGACAGATTTCGACCCCACAGCTTCAGTTTGTAATGAAGACTACAAGCATAGTTTTTTTTTTTTCCATACACAAAAACTCCCAAAAGTGTCAAGCCCTACCATAGACAACCTTGATGGCATCATCAGGGTAGGGCATCAAATTATTAGAACATGCACAAAAAGGTTACTTTGAGTAGATGATAGCTGGCGACATTAGCTATCCGGTGTAACAACTGTCCAGTAGATGGCTCTGGCTATCTGAATGTTAACGGTTGCTGCTATGAGAGTGACAGACTGAAAAAGGCCTCCATGGGAGTGGACGGAACAGTGTGCAGATTCTACTCATTTACAGAGAGCTAACGAGCATTAGCTACCCAGCAGGTAAAGACAAACTGAACTATCAGTCGAATGCTCAGTCAAAAAACACAAATAACAGGAGCAGATGGATTAGTTTTACTAAAGTGGATTCTCTACTACATTCAAGCTATTTGTATGTTTAAGATGTATGACAAAGGTGCTACAAGGCTTTATTATTCTGCTCAACTGTCTTTTTTCCCGTTCTGGGTATTTTAGGTTGTAATTACAATTGGTTGTATTAAATAATCTAATTTGACGTGTTCCAAAATGTGTTTTTCAGGGCGCTAGAAGCCATGGCTGAACACATGATGATGCCCATGACCCACAGCTTCAGGATGGGCATGAATGGACCTCCGCAGCACAACGGCCAGCCCGGCCTGCGCACTCTGCCCAACGGCCAGGTGATGCACTACGGCAGGAACCCTCAGAACAACATGGAGGCCGCCATGAGACAGCGGCAGGGCATGGTGGGACCTGGCGGGATGGCCGGCCCCTTGAACGGAGCTCCCATGGCCAACCACCACCACCACCAGATGATGTCTGGGAACATGATGTACAATGGCCAGGGTCCGCAACAGCAGCAGCACCACCACCACATGCACCCCCAACAGCAACAGCAGCAGCAGCAGCAGCAACAGCAGCAGCAGCAGCAACAACAGCAGCAGCAGCAGCAGCAGCAGCAGCAGGGTGGACACCCGCAGCAGTACCTCCCTGGTAACCTCACCTCCCAGCAGCTTATGGCCAGCATGCACCTGCAGAAACTCAACACTCAGTATCATGGACACCCGCTGGTCTCAGGCAACGGCCACCACATGCCCAACGGTGCTCAGTACCGGGTGGGCCCGGCCCAGCTATCAGGCATGCAGCACATGGGTGGCCCTTTGGGACAAAACGGCATGGACATGGATCTGATCGACGAGGAGGTTCTGACTTCGCTGGTGCTGGAGTTTGGGTTGGATCGCGTTCAGGAGCTGCCCGAGCTCTTCCTGGGACAGAATGAATTTGACTTCATATCAGACTTTGTGTGCAAACAGCAGCCGAGCACGGTGAGCTGTTGAGCGAAGCGTCCGGAGGCTGGTCGGGTTTTTGGTTGGACTGGACACTCCCAAAGAATGACTGAGCGGTCACAGTAGCACAGCGAGAGGAGACAATCTCTCTGTTCTGTTTGGGTGTTTCTGTGTCTGTGTATCTGACAGTGACTAGTCCGCCTTCACACTGACCTGCCTGCGAGTTGATGAAGAATTGTAAAGAGAGAAAACGCACCAAGCGCACCAGGTTTATTTTCTTTGAGCCGGTGCCAGAGAGATCTGTCGTCTTTGGCCAAATTGAGGCATCCTGATGCAGCGGGCTCTGTCTGTACCCATCTGGCCCTCAGCACATGTGCCTGCATTGCCAAGGCTCTGGGATCATTGTAAACTTAACAAACACAACGGGGGAAGGCCTGAAAAGACTATCCATCTGGGTCTGCTAGATTCTGTGGCACTACTTAATGTATTTTATCTCTGATGACACCTTCAAATAGTAGCAGACATTTTACAAATTTATAAAAGCTAGTCCTCTGAATTTGTTTGTATAACGATGAAGGGATTAAGAACAGATATCTTTTTTCTGACATACATATTGAAGGCTGGCTCTTCAAAACTTGAGTTCCTACAAAAAGAAGTACACATTTCCTCGAAGAGCAGGAGAGTGACGTTGGGCAGCATTCCTGGGTGACGTGAAGTAGATTATCTCGGATTAGTCGGGTGAATTGTGCTACATTGATTATTTAGCTTTCAGTGTCACTTACCTGACTCCCGATTTAATCTGCAATCATGAACTGTATCACATCTGTTCCCCGCTAATTAACTGTGATTGAATCATTGGCAAAGTAGCGCATTGCTTAGAGTGTCTGCTTGAACAAAGCATTTATCTTTAGAAAAACGGCCTGGAAGACATTTTTACATGCTCATCGCAAGCAAAGTTTGGGTTACTGCTTAGTAGAACTGCATGAGCTGTTGGGGAGGAAGAAACATGTTCGGATATGAGAAACGCCATTACTGTGGCCTGTTGCAAGATCCAAGTAAAAGCCAAACAAAAATAAAAAAGTAGCCATCAGACGGGTGAAGGTGTCGATCACAGATCTGAGGTGGGATTTCTTTTGTTCTACAACAGGATTGGTTTAAAAAAGAAAAAAAAAGAAAAAGAGCGTGATTGCAGAATTTGCATCTGTGTGTTGTTTGTGTACGTCTGTGTGTGTGGTCAGTGCGGTGAGGCTTTTAAAACCCATTGAATGGCGTTCTCTCTAAACACATGGCCCTGTCTGCTGAAGGTGATTGGAGCTGCGTGGGGAAAGAGGAGAGGGAGAGAGAGAGAGAGAGAAAGATAGAGATTCTGATGAGCGGACACAATGTGTGGGCACAGCACTCCCTGGCAGCATTTAGTTTAATCATTATTTAAATCTGCTACCTGTGGCATTGATTTCATTCCGCAGGAAGAGCAAGCGGGGAGCACAAAGCCTGCAAAGTTGTTGTTTTTGCCATAGATTAGCTTACTCTGCTGCTTTTCTACTGATTAGATATAAATTACATGTTCTCACACGCTTGTCTTAATTGAGGTCGGCTTGCACATTCTCCAATGACTCAATAATTATAAAACGGACATATTCTGTGGCGCTTTTTTTTTTTTTTTTTGCGCAGTTGGTAATTAGGTTTTTGTCAAGGTTGCTGCTCTGCCGCTGCAGGCGGGTTGAGAGAGAACTTCCTGCACTCGTAATGCTATTTGTGGAGCTGTCAGAGGGGTCAGGGCTGCGCTAGTGCACTGTGTTAATCTGTTCCAATACAACTGTGCTGCTGCCCCTGTCTCTCTGGAGATCTGCCATCTCCGAGCTCTTGAGTCAAACAATGGGCATTGAAACGCTGTTGTAAAGGCAGAGAAGTGCCAGCGAGTTCACGCACTGTTTCACTTTCTGCCTGACACAATTTGGCCACACCAACTTACAAGCTCACGGTTGAAATGGTAAACACTGCTGGCCTTAGCGAGACAGTGGCCTCTGATTACTGCTATATCAATAAGCGCAGCATTCTTGTGTATCGTATCTTTGTACTGTAGACTAGAGGTGAAGTTGATCTAGACACATTTAATAAGGTACTTTCGAAAAAAAACATTGTCAGATGTAAATGTAAATCAGTGGCTGATTTTTGATGTGTTGACAAGAGATTATACCCTACATTTTTACAAATGAGTGTGTAGATACAGTGTGAGAATACCAATGGTTTTTGGGTGCAGGGCCTGAAGCTTTAAGACCAAGTACACTGCATGTTAAAGCAAGCGTGAGGGATGCCACCCCCTTTCATACAAAGCAGCTGAGAATGTACAGTACAACACATTGTGGGAACTTGTCTTAAGATGGTAGATAAACGTGTGAGATTGTACTCCTTGTTCCAAATTACACATCATTCATTTGGGTAAACCCCCTCCTACTCCCTTCCCACGTCCCTAAAGCTTTTGTAATGTTATTGATTCTATTTTAAGAAAATGTATTTATTTTCAAATAAAATATTTATTTAAAGAAATGTTTTCTGTTTGTCAGTGATTCCACTGTTGGCCGTCATGAAGAGCACAGTACAATGCTCTAATGTTGCTTATATATCAAGTTGTTACTTGTGTTAGCAGCCTGATCCACGGAGGCTTTGAGATGCTGTCGGTTCAATCCTCTGAGTTTCATTCTCTTGTTGGTTTCAGCCACTTCTCCACCCACAAGAAGTGATGAGCAAACCCAAGAGGAAAAATACAAACTACGTATCCTAAACAGAAGTGAGTCAGCACAAAGTTTGACCCACCAGGATGTTTTTTTTAAGTTCACTGTGTGTTATATAATTGGAAAATTTCCACTTAAAAAGCCAAACACATTGCATAGTGACAACGGTTAAGTAGTGTGCTAATTAGCAACAAATAAAAGTGACTGTATTCTTATTTTAACTAGTGTGTGAGGAAACGGATGTGAAGCTGAGAACTGTCTTGCTTTATGAAGCCTGTTTTCAAAAATCTGTTCCAAGAAGCGCACCAACTGATGTAATCAATCACTCGAAATTACCTCCTTTTTTTTTTTTTTTCTTCAAAGACCTTATAGTGCCATTTTTTTCCACTTCTCTCCAACTAGTATCTGCATATTTCCAGCTAGACGTTTTGTTTTACCATTAGAAGAACATTTCTGTGGGGATTTAAGGGGAAAAAAGTAAAAAAAATAGTCTCATTAAAATTCCAATTAGCTGTGCAGTAAAGTCGTATTACGAAGACCTGGAATACTTATGCTGCTCTACATGATGTGAGTCAAGGCAGTGTTTTGTCCTTGAGCTGTTTTTAATGGATCTTTTGGAGACTATCTGAGCATGTGTCTTGTGGACTTGCAGGAGAGCCAACCTACATCAGAACGCAGTGGCAAGGCCATGGCCTATCTAGCATGTTAACGAAAATGAGAAATGAGTTGTGTATCTGCCACTGCTTTTTAGAGAAAAGTTTAAAAGAAACCATTATCATAGTGCCTACGTGATCAAAAGTGAGACCAAGATCAACTCCACAGGTGCTCCTCAGGGTCACAAAGTCACATATAAATGAACACACACATGAGAATCTGTACTCTCTCATTGAACCTGCACCCGTGTGAGGAGTGTGGAGTGAAGGAAGAAGAAATATGTATACAAATATGTATAAAAGAATACTGACAAAGAGAGAAAGGAAAAGAAAAACTGAAATAATAAATGCATTATAAATAATAGAAAAGAAACTCACTGTGAATTCAAATAAAACACATTTTGCTACTTTTGTATCAGTGTTTCATCTAAATGTGTTTCCTATATGTGCTACTGCGATATCTCAAACACCTGTTTCCTGCTGGGAGGGAAACGCACCACTTACTGTATCAACACTTGCAAGTTCAGTGCACATTGCAGTTATGCAGCACACTATGATAAAAAGGTAGAAAAAAAAAAGCAAACACTTCCCACAAATGAACACATAAAAAGGAGAGGGAATAGTAGTAAGGCTTGTGTAAACAACGTGCAACAGCCATTCCTCGCAAAACAGCTTGTTGCTTCGATCTGGGAGTTCTCAAGTCTGCTCAGGGGAAGTTTGTTCAAGGAGACAGAAATGCTCCTTTATAACTGAGAAATGGTTGAATGCTGTGAGGATGCAATATTTCACATCACAAGCTGAATTTGACTCTGTCTTCACCGTGGGTTTCCCTCACTGGAAACATCCATTTGAGAAAGACACAGAGGCCTGATAAAACATTCAGCATTGAACAAAACCTGTTGAGAATGCTGGTAATACAAAAGAGCGAGCCGGGAATTATTATCATTATCTCTGTGCTGTGCTGTACAAATAAGAACAAGTAATTCCTTCTGTAAAATGTGATAAAGCCTCACAAAGCACATAGATTACACCGGTGTCATCTTGTTACTGCTATGGTCTGTGAGAGCTCCGCAAATCTGTACAACCTTAAGTTTGAGCGCTTGACCAAGAGAAGCTTATCTCCTCTAAATACAAACAGGAAACTGTATCATTGAGCCACTTCCTAAAGCTAGGCGGGGAGGTTGATATCCACCTCTCAGAATAGCCCCTTCTGGCTGTAAGCATACCAAACATGAGAGCCTGCTGGGTCAAAGGCCCGCTCAGAGCAGCCTATTAAATCAAGAGCACAGTCAAGGGTGGCTTTTTTCACCAATTAATAGACTGAGCGATTGCAATATCTTCTTCGAGAACGTCTTTAATTTAAGGCAAAACCAAAATCGACGAGTCAAAGCCCGTTCAGTTTGGTATCTTTAAATTGCATAACCTTGGACCGTATGAGCTCAAGTCGAGCATTGATGGAACAGCTCTTAATCCTATCCAACCCTTCTTCTCGAAGCTCTGACATCTGGCTGCCAATCTCCTCTATGCCTCCTTAACGGGGCTGGAGGAAGTGGTGTGTGTGTATGAAAAGATCAACGAACTGTGACCCTGAATGTTTGGAGGTTCAGAGGCGCATTCAAGATGTACTATAATGTGTCAAGCTGATTCAAAGAATGCCAGAGTTAGAGAGTATAGAAATACATTTATTCCAATAAAAACATTTTGAGATCACAGAGGGCTCCAGCGAAAAAAAAACACACTGCAATTGTAAATATGTGCAAGTGCACAATCCTATTTATCACTGTGTACCACAGTATTTGAATGAAACAAATGATATATAACATGTTAGTTAGTGAGCTTTAGAGGTGCTGGTAGGTAGACTTTGTTTGGACAGCCTCATGCGAAGAGTGATGCGAATAGACTTCAAATGGGATATAACATTGGCAAACATATTTACTTTGACTTCACTAAAAGAGCAGAAATGTTAAGGTGAAAGAGAATTGTGCTCACACTAACTGCTCAACCATTCAGTTATTGCAGCAGGAAATGGCAATCTGTAGTACATGAATGGTGTCTGTATTAAAAGCAGAATTTAATTTGGACAGACAGGATAAATATATGCTGTCTACATGAAAATTAATTATTCTGCTGGGCTTCTATTCCACATTGTGATTTGAAAAGACAGGTATACATTTATAGAAGAATGACGTGTCTAGTAGCTGTATTCAAAATCTAAAACGGCCTTGGCTTGTATTTTAAAATCTATGATTGAATCTTGAGTTTACAATGGCGGCAATTGCATGAATGATCAATGCAATTTGAATGATTGTACTGTAGCTAAATCTGTGGCTGTAAGCTACGAGACAGCAGTATGGGACAGTGGATGATATAACAGTTGAAGAGCCAGGCATTGCGTTAAGGTGGGGAATTTATCAAAATGTGAAATAGAATATACAATGTGAAAGAAATAGAATATACAATGTGAAAGCAATACCAAATTTGAATGTGATTCATCATATAGCATCTAGTAGTTTTGGATGTGTGAAGTAGTGAGAAATGATGTAACGATACCAGACCTTAAATGTCAATCTTGACACACTGTTCACCATGACTGTTCAAATTCCCAAACCGGTGAGGAGTCACACATCGCAGTGTACAGTACACACATGAATGTGACAATCCCTCACAGTCTTCTGATCAAACTGGTTCATTTCAACCAGCGTAGTAGCGTTAGTGTCGACTGCTTTGCGCGCGCAACCATCTCTTAGCCCCAGTCTCTTTTTTTACGTCTGCCAGCAAAAGTATAATCCAGGGCACCAGAGCGAAGCTGCCACTGCCAAGTCCACCTGGTGGGACAGCAGGGTGGCTCTGCCTGCCACATCTGCTCTAACATGGTAATACTTTAATGTACTGATGACGGCAGGACACTCAGACCCACAACACATGAGGCTGTAATGGCCGGGTACAGAACAGTCTGTCTTTGTAAATGTTTTTGTTTTTTTAAAATTTGAGAATAGGTTGTGTGAGTCACAGAAGTCAGACTGATGTAGGGACTACGTCACAGAGATAATTTACAACTGTGAGTTACACAATAGTTAGTCTGGCCTCTGCAGCAATAACAAGCACACATTTTCAAGCCCAGGCGTGTCCGGGGTTACATTGTCTTGTTTTGTTGGCACTATGCAAGAACACAACAACATACAATTCAAGTAGTATCAACATTTAGTATCTTAGGCTTCATTCACACAGGAATACCTGGGGACCTCTAAATTTGTAATCATTTTGCAAGATTGTTTGTGATCTTAATCCTGTGCAAATCTGCCATGTCACAAATGTGTTTAGTAAAGATTGCAGTGCAAATTACCAACCGAATTTTAATCAAAAGTCATGTGATCGTATTTTTGAAAAGGTTTTATTTGGGTGCAAACTCAGGAGGCTCATCTCGCTACACAGCATGCACCAGAGCAAGAGGTTTCTGTGAGTATTATATAAACATGAATCGGCCTATAGAATAGTATTCATGATATTAAGGCTAAATGACTGGAGTCTTGTCATCACAGTTAACTTTCCAGCTTTGGTACCATATTGTATGTAGCTTTACAAAAGCCTCTGATGATCACTGACTGGCAACCTGTGTTGGAAACGCTGAAGTGCTAGGGGGATGGATAATGCCACTGATGGAACAAGGTCAGACAATATGTTAATCCCAATCATATAACAGTTTGCCTCAGCCCAGTGCCTCCTTTCACAACCACCAGGACTTTAGCTCCCGAACAAAGCTTTCTGCAGAATAATGATAGTTCAGTGTAACATCTTTGTACCCAAGTGATACTGAACTGCTAAAAGTACAAGTTAAAACTGAAATCCAAGATGTAAGTGTTTGTAAAAGACAGTATGGTTTCAAGAATATGAACCTCGCCCTTTCCCAAGCTCCAATGTCACCAGCTGCATTTCACCCTGTAAACAGTTTTGACAATCAGGTAGATGTCATTCACTCTCCTCGCCCTAAAGCAACAGTGACGCATACAAGCAATCGTCTCAGTGTTTACCACCTCTTCGCTTACGTCTGGTTTTTTCGCTCCAGTTCTATGGCTCAGTCTCGCTGCCTGAGCACTTGGTTTCATTGTCATTACCTTGCACTCTTACTCACCAGATGACTCACCACAGCATTTTAGTGAAGACG